TAATCAATATATATTACAAGTTGGTATTCATTTTAGGCCGACATCATTTGAATGAACAATGGAAACCTGGGGGCACTGGAAAGCCGTTTCGTCCCAGTATGGGACTCCTCAACAGTACGCACCCGTGACCTTCAGGTCCCGTGGCCAGCACATCACCACTGAGCCACTGGGTCGGAATCCAATGGTCCATATTTCCAACTTCTGTCAGCTCATGATATAGCGCGACCGTGGGTAGGTGCGAACTGCTGTGTCCCATACTAGAACGAAACAACTGTTCAGTGCTCTCAGGTTTCCATTGTTCCTCCAAATGATGTCAGTCTACGATGAATACCAACTTGAAATATCTCTAAATCCCCAAAAACCCTCCAAATTCAATATATATTAGCTTACTGCACATTTTTTTGTGTTATGACAGTACTTCGTTACTTGATCACCTTTCCGTCTTCGCGATCGATCCTTATATTAAATTTGTAAATTACTGGTTGTATACTCATGAGAAAACATTTATCAAACATCAGTGGGCTGTAGGAACTGAATGGTGAGATGTCTTTCCAGTGTCTATAATATGAATACGTATAAAACACTCTGATGTGTCATGCTCACAGTAGTTAAAAAAGAAAGGTCCTGATGTTAGCTAGATAATTATGGTGGTAGTTTCCACCAGCTTTTAGAACTACTTACTGTTTGGACGGTTTCCAACCGATCATTGTTGTAGGTGGCGGCAGATGTAGGCTACTGGTTTTCAAAAATCAGTATACTCCGTAAACTATTTCAGAACTCAATTCTATTTATTAGGATAAAGGCTGTTTCACTGATTAGAAGCCCCAAGTCTCCGTACCTTCAAAAGTATACCACTATTTTAAAAAAACCGAAGGAATACTAAAGTCTAGTGCATTGATGACTGTGGATATCTCAAAGAGTCAATGCAAATCATCAGCATCATTTCCAACCGTTGTTAGATTTAGCTATGGTCTTGAATCCAATTTGCGCCTTACTAACCTCCGCTAATAAACCTTCGAAAGTGTCTTAAGAAAGACACCTTTCGAATGCGGAATTTGAATTTTCAAAAGACAAGCCGTTACGTGAGTTGAAGTGATTCTGTCAAAACCATGGCTCCTGCAGGCATAAACAGAAAAGATAAAGATACACATTTTCCTACTTTTGCTTCTGGAAGGTATCGAAAAGTTCGCCTATCACAGCAGGTTCAAAACAGTTTACCAAGATTATCGATGGTATACATTTCAGAGTTCCCAGATAAGGTGAAGTTAAACACAGTCTCTGAGAGTAAGCAGACGTTCTTTGCATCGTGTTCAATTCCTGTATATGTATTTCTGATGCACAGTAAACACGAAGCAAAGATATTATCACCTATGCAAACACTTTGGTCACTACTGAAATGTATACAACATCTGAATACCGATGGCTATAAGCTTGATTAAACCACACTGTCTCAAACTCACCAGTTGAATAGCTATTTATGATTACCTCTACTGAAAGTGATAGCGCCTTAGAACTGCAATATCATTCATAGATTATGAACCATTATTTAGATTAAAAAATTGGCGCTTGAAAAGAGAGTTTGAAGCAAGTGTAAACAAAGCCTTACTCCCAAATCTCTAAACCCTAAAATATAGTTAGTTTCAGAAGTTTTATCATTGGCATTAGACCTGAAAGCATACTTCAAAAATTTGTAAAATTAATGCTGTATTGGATTTTTGTCCCAGTCTGAGGTAGAAATAGTATATTGTAACATCTGGTTCCTAGGCATTCTAGAGTTTATCTGAATCACTAGATCAAGTTTCATTAGCTTTCTGGAATAGTAAATACCTTCGGCAGTTAGGAACCATTTTTATCACGGCGAGAATGAACACTAGCAATGGATTTCAGGAATTTTATTCATAGCATTGTGATTACAGAATTTATATCAAAAGGTAAGGTTGAGGCGCATCATTTCTTTTTATCATGGTGCACATAAGTGGCATATATATATATATATATATATATATATATATATATATGATGACTGAAGATAGATCATATCAGTAGACTACAGTCTTCACAATAAGTTATTAAATCATCTCTAAGAGATTATTGAAGTTTATTTCCTTCTGAAGAATTTACCAAAAATATCGCCTAGATTTATGGTGGAAAAACTTCACAGTTAGATAGTTTCTTCGGAGTTACCATCGTCTAACTTTACGAATTCCTTCAACTATCTCGATCACCGGTATCATTTGTATGTGTTGTAGGCGATGCCATGACAGACTTGAAGTTTCAAGCGAGAAACAGCGTTTATTCAAGGTAATATAGACTATATATATATATATATATATATATTATTATATATATATATATATATATATATTCTTTCCGCGGGCATGGACTGGGATAGCTAAAATTTCTTTTATATGCATCCACCTAAGGTCCTTCTCATGAATGAACCTTGACCAACACTAAAAGAAGGTATAAAGTCACATAAGGATCGTAGGAACTAGAAATTCAATCAGAAAACTGAATTCCACTGTGTCACTTTTCAAGGTTGTGACTTAACGGTTGAATCCCTAAAGACACGTGAACAACTCAGATGAGTGAATTGTTTAGAAATGAGTCTTTGAACCCACTAATCCTTAGGACAATAACTGAGTTCAGTTACAGGAAATAACTGACATAAACTGAAGTTCATTAAGCCTGTTTATCTGCTCTTCACAATTCATTGAAGATATTTTACAATTAGACTAAACTAATTCAATTTGCAGAATTTTGAGGATTTTATTGATTTCATGGTGGCATTCATCATGAGCTGACATCAGTTGGAGAACCACTGAAAACCTAGGAGCATTGGAAACTGTTTCGTTCTCACAATGGACACCTCAACACGCCGGGGATCAAATCCACAAAATTCAGGTTCCATGGTAAACACATAGTCATTTAGCCACTAAGTCGGAATCCACTTGTTCATATTTTCTCACTTCTGTGACATAGTGTCACTTTCGTCCATTGCCGTGGCTGAGTATTTGCCCTCATGCCTCAGGTTTTCAATGGTTCTCTGTCTGGTATAAGTTCATGTTGAACACCATTTTGAAACTTAAAAATCCCCACAAACCTACAAACTGAATTACTGTATAATGCTCATTATTGACATGCTTCGAGCTGCGGTTTCCTGAAGTCCCAATAAGAAGTCGTGACTGATGGGTCAAGGCAAGTTGGATGTGAAGATAAATACTCAACGATGGTAGCGCTTATTCCCAAATTGACTGGTGAGGCAGTGTTGACCATTGGATTCCGACGTATTGGTTGAATGGCCTAAGAGTCTGAACTTTGTGGGTCCGATCCCCGGCGTCGTCATGGTAGCTCACTGCTGATGAGTTCAACAGTAGGAAAATATTGCTATCCAGTACTCCCAGGTTTTCAATGGCTCTCCATTTGATATCGTTTCGTGATGAATACACTAAATTAAATTTTTATTTTAGTTTTTGGCTTATGAGATGAAAAAAGCAGAATAGTTTAAAGGTCAACTTGTAAAGAAAAAATCACCAAGTTTTATTTCAGCAGCCCATTTTGTACATGTATTTATGTGTGTACAAAGCATAGAAATTAGAACTAGTTCCAAGTCCTCACAACTACAACGTTTCCGAAAAGCAGGTTCGTGGAAGCTTATCTGATATCACTTTCAGTTCACTTTTTTAGGCATAGTTTGAAGTAGATACTGCAGAATAAAATGCCTTTTATCTCGCCTATTTTAAATGATGAGAAAACGAATAATCTACTTGAAGAGTGAGTACATGTATAAAAATACATAAGTGAGGAAATTCACTAAGAAGGACTCTTTTCAACGAATCTGCCCACAAGCTGTACTTTCGTATACATACATGATATTTGAAAACTATAATTCGTGAGGAAATTTATCGAGAATAACAATTAGGATGGTTGGAGACGTAGATGCCGAATGATAACTAAGGTATATTACGTAAGATTTCTAGATACTTCATAGGATCCAAATACATTACAGAGGAGCAATAAAATGGTAGAGCTAGGGAAGGAAAAAAGGATTAAGTAAGGTGTATGAGACAATTTAAGTGGGATAAAATGAGAATATTTTGCTCCGAGTTCTATTTATTGGAAAGATTATATGAAATAACACTGGAAATTATCAAATGAGAGAAAGCTGAAAAAATGAAACCAATCTATACAAACTGAAGTTGAGACCATGGTAGAGATAAAGATTTTACATGGTTGTTTTTTCGCTCAACGGTTAGGCTTCAGTTCATGAAAAACTCCCAGGGCATCTACTATTTTGAGAAGTTGAAGAGGAAGGAAAAGTGAAATATTTCAGCGGTTTTGATAAGCGATCTTGAGATCATTGCTTAAGCCAGTTGAATGGTTGGAATCAATCAGTTGTTCAGGGATAAAACCTCTAACACATTTCCTTTTATTTGTATATTTGTCTATTATTCCCCTTTAAAATCACTGTTACCTCCTACATCATACAATCTGCTTGATTTATACCACCATTATATCACAACTTTGGCTAGCAGTACATCTTACTGACTGATTTAAGTAGTTAACAAACTGTTCTCACTAGTCAAAGACATTCCATATAAAAGTCGATTTGAACTGAACACTAGATGATTGTTCCTTTCTTTCAGCGTTTTTCTAACCTGTAAAATTCTTAGTTAGATTCAGTTCGGCAAAGCAGATTGTTCAGACTATTGGTGTAGAGAGCTCGACTCAAATTAGAAATGTGTACAGTCACTTGTAGTTATGTTATGAACTGGACTCGATTTCTGAACTGTGTATACTATCGATGAGTATGACTAGAAAACAAAAGTTATGCACTGTTTCGACTGAACGCAACACAAACATCTATGTTGATTGTGTATCGTATGATGCCTGAGAGCAAACATCGGTTGTTTTCCTAACCAATTTGCGTTGATTTGGTTAACTTCTATGCCACTGTAGCCTAGTAAACATCTTTTGAAATATATTTAAACAAAATTTAGTGGTCCCTGCTGATAGAGGTTATGTACCGAAAAATATCTTCGGCAGACGTTACTTCACAAGTGGTAATTCAAAGTATTACAATGGGGGCAATGGAGCTGGCGGTGGTGGTTACTTTCACCAAGGTCGTAGAGGTGGTCGTGGGAATAATCGATACTATTATCATGCAGGCCAACGCATTTACTACAATAATAAAAATGGAAACGAAAATAACTACAGATCCCGATGTGCATCTGTTCATTCTTTATGTGCATCTCCAATGTCACTTAGTCAATCACAGATCAGTATGGTAGACTTCGATAAGCACAGTTATTATCCATATTATAAAAATGATGCGACACGTCACCAACGTCATCGTTTCTCAAATTTCGCTCATAACATGACTAATGAACAGCTGATGGATGAATATATTGATGACTGTCTGTCTACAGACATTGAACAATATCAATTGAAGTTGGATATGGATAGTAGTTTGTACGATGGATACGGTGCAAAGATAATGATGAAACGAGCGGATAATATTGATAATTGGAATAGATCATCATCTCCATCTATGGATTCCGATTTACTGTCTATTGATATCAGCCAGTCGTCATCAACAAATAACCAGTTTTGTCAAAGAGTTGATGGAAATCCTGAAGAGGATTATCAACGCTTGAAAAGAAAAAGTAAGAGCTCTTTAAACCTATCAACACCAAATGTTATTGCAAATGATTGTCACATTGATAATGTTCATGATGAGGACCATGTTCACGATAATACAGAGGAAAAAAAGAACTGTATGGATGATGGTGAGTTTGAAAATCATTGTAAGTAGCTTCTTTTTATTTGCTTAAATGTTTTAAACTGACTGTACCCTGTCAATGACCTCTACTCAAGGACGAAATTACTAATTATTGACTGAAATAAAGAAAACCAAGCGATGAAATGAGATTCGATACTTCAGGAGTAAATGTGTATGAAAAGAGTACGAACTTGAGGCGAATAAACCTTAATTGATGCTGACTCAAAGCCATTAAGGTGGTGTTTCAGTGAATAAATCATCTCTATCTGGCTTATAAATACAACTAATCATATACTGCGGTTGTTAACTACTGTTTTCAACCAGTAATCTAAACAATAAATTTCTCTTACCTGACTTCATGACTTCGTTCGAAGTGTTCAGTAAATCACAGTTTTTGGTATGAACATTTCTGTTTCATAAGCATACAGTTACAGAGCATGAGCACTAGATTATATCTTAGTGCCTTACTGACGTGTCTAGCTCAGATAGTTGTGGTTTGGGCGATGGTTAAAGGTGGAATGAGAACCTGGATAGCAACACGATATCAGTCAGTGACATCTGAGTTACAGGTCAGGTGATTTACCAGCTCAATTATGAGACCCAACCTCTGACTGGGTCTTCATTTCAGTCATTCTGAAGCATCACAGGTCTACATGACAATCGAGAAAAGCCCCATATAACTGAAGTTAAGCTAAGACTTGGTCAGAAGCTGCTTCTGGTAGTTGACATGCTAGATTGCCGGTCTGGTATTCCAGAGAACGCTGGCTTGAAACCTACCCCAGCCCAGGCTTTTTTTCACTCTCGATCACGCCCACCCCCCACCTGAGTATCAGTGAAGCATACTATGTTCGGATTGGTGGTGTAGTGACTTCATTTTTGATGGTGCTGTGTTCTCTGAGCTGGGTGTTTTCATCGTGAAGCTGTCACTGTCATTCTGGACAACATCATCAGGACGACCAACAAATCACACATAAGGCCATCAGCACAAGGTATTAAGTAACTTGTGGAGAAAACTCCATAGCTCACTTCTTTCTGAAGTTTGTGCTGATGAGGTTGTTTAGAATTATCAAAACAGCTTCACAGTTGAACTATCCAGCTCATGAGAACACAACACCATCAAAATTATCCTCCTGAGCTATAAATATTCTCTGTTATTTCAGTAGTGATTATATTTGGTTCTTAAATCACTGAGAGACAGTATCATAGGATATATTGAAAATTCCAAGTCGTATCAAAAATAGTGTCTGGAATACAAAGATTACTGTTATTATTATAAGTTTGAAGTATTCATTATGGTTAAGGCTTCTTTAACAGTCTGAAATATATGTCTATGAACAATTAACTGGTTTAGTAATAACCGCTGTTATACAACAAGATTTGCCTTTTAATAAAGTAAACTTCCAATGTTTTATGACAGGTGTAAATGTACACGGAGAAAAGTACAGTATTGATTGATGAACTACAAAAAGGCACTAAATTTGGTGTTTCGTTTTTAGCGAAAATCGATTAATTGTGCTTTTTTTGTTTGCATTGTTATGTAAAAAGCTAGTTACTCAATCGGGGTGGTGTAAATTGTCTTATTTATGATATCCTTAAGTTAAATAAGAATAATATTCAGTTCATGAGTCCTGTACTATGTGAATTGTAGGATTATAAGTACAAAGAGAAAAAAGCAACACTTTACAGAGTGAACAAGTACCATTACGTTAGATTATTTAGTTATTGGCCTACCTCAGTGATCACTTAGCACTACACAAAGAAATTGACCCTTAGGCTTGATATGATAGATATCACAGGTTGACGTAACGTACAAGAATTATCAGGATGCCTTCTAAAGTGAGTGTCGTTCTTGAATTGGCAATCTATCTCGGTTAATCCACTTTCGAGAAACACTGTGACAACATAACAGCTCACATCATATCACCGTCCCTCTTGAGAATGCCTAGATAGAAATTATCCCATGAAATTGCTACCTGTTGAATGAACCAAGTGGAGAGTGAGGATGGACGTCAAATGAAAAATGTTGTTGCTATGTTTTTGACTGAATTAACTTCACAAAATGGGAACACCACAACTTGAACACGAAAGTTTTCCATCAAGCCGAATAATTTAGGTTGTAAGGTGGTATTTATCATCAGTCGACATCTGTTGAAGCACCAGTGGAAATCTAAGAACACTGGACAGCTATTTCGTTCTACTTTAAGATTCCTGAGGAGTGTGCATCCATGGTCACACCAGGGATCGAACCATGGACCTTCAGTACATCATTTGTAGCCGTAAGTGTAGCTCACAGATTACTACACCAACCCGCGCAAAACTGCTGAGTCATCTTCCTTCATTATAACTTGTAGATAGTCGGTTGAGGTTGTTCAGCTAAAAACGTATTCATATTAAGGAAGAGTACTCAAAAAATGACTCTGCATTATTAACCTCATAATCTAGCTTTTTTTTCATGCAAGACAATCATGATGTTAGTTGGGTTTCGGAATAAGAACGTCATTTGCAGCAGAACAGCATAAGTAGCTAGCAACCATTTACGCTGATCTGTTTATGAGTAGATAATTTGTAAATTGACCAAGCATTTCATGGCATGTCAGTAGCTTCACATAACTCAGCTTCTCTGTGAGTGAAATGTTTTCGGTCACATAGCTGATGCCCTGAATCACAAAGAAGTGAAATGGCCCTTTGGTGTTTACATCGACTTGATTTAGCTGAGGGAATCTGCATCCAGATCAATATGAATGGTATGTAAATAGTCATTTTTCTCCCTAGTAGTACGTTTAATTAGTTCTGATGCTTTTTTTCAGGGAATTTAATCAATGACCTTACTTGACTGGATGGTTTCCAGTGGAAAGTCTATTGACAACACGTTTAAGCAATTGAAAAAGTAGTTGGTTGTACTAGATGTCAGCCTAAACCGTGAAATTTCATGAACACTGTTTGTGACTATTAAAACCAGACAGTTTTCACTTCCCCACAGCAGTTTCAGATCTCTTTAATTGTTTTTGTAACCCTTAGTCTTGTTCATTCTATTTTTCGTCATGCTGACATAGAGCATGAACGTGGACGATGTCTTAGCCTTTTTAGCATATATTGCATCCAACTTAACGGACGAAAGTTTATATATTTGTTAACCCATTTATCCTGTATGCCCAATCCCGAACGGCTGGCAATAAATTGTTTGAACTAGTGGTTATACAATACAGAATGGATTGTTCAGAGGTGTTTTGTGGTCAAATTTACGTGAACAGTAGTTGATACCTACTTTTCCAAGATACCTATCATATAATCAGTGTTAAAATCCGTATTTATTGAGGCCGATAGTGCACATTAGAAGTATAAGTTTCGTATGTCACCACTTCATCTTAAAGCTTATGTACGAAAAGTTTTTGGATAGTAAACCAGCAGAATCTTCCTGACAAAAACATAGGATAGTAATTAATTTCAAAGACTTATTTCCACTATCTACTGACTAACCTAGTTAACTTCAACCGGAGGCCATTCTAAAATTGTGACATTCAACAAGGAAATTCTGACCTCAACACCAAACGCAGCATATTCTGAAGTAAAATTACTTGATCCATTGTTCTGCAATTAGTCGGTAGACTTTACTGAAGACTGAAATTTCTAAATATCATTCAAACAACTCATCATATGATTTATTTGTTTGGATTGAAGATTTACACAGTATTGTAAACACTTCTTACGAACAAATACCAATAAGTAAAATGCTTAATTCCATGCCTAAGACTGTATAATATAATCGGTTATGTAGTCAGTTTTCAACGATGTTCCTGCCTTAATTTTGATTTGTCTAATATTATGTCAATAGCTTCTTGTAAGTTAGTGTAGTATCCAATGGTTATTCGCACTTTAGTCGAGTAAAAGATCTTGAAATTCGTGTCTTGAGGAGTGGATGTTGAATGCACGAAATAATCAATCATCCATTGTTACATATTCTAAGGATATGTGCTCGATAATTTAATGCAGAAATTCTTATTATATCATAATATTTCACTTGATTGAAGCTTGGCACTTAAATTGTATCGCTTGTTTGTTCGTCTGTTTTTATCTTAAAACTCTGAACAACTTTTCTATTCGTAAATTTATAGGTAAATCTGGAAACATGAATGATTATCATACTCTCGTATGGGGTGAGTATAATAAACTCATTTATTCTATAATCTGTAAGAGACTTAGTCAAACAATTTTTATCACTAATTTGCAACACAGCAGAAGTAATTTGTCTGTTATATTTGGTCATACGATCCATTGAAGACATTTCTTTTTCAATATTTGAACTTGTTTTGTTCAGAGCCATATCGGAAAACACTACTACTGAGATATGCTCAGTATACGAGTAACGCTTCTACATTTTGGTAGAATGTGGTTCCTTATCACATTTGTTTACTTGATATATCGCACAGTGACAGTATTATTTACCAGGCGTTATTTTAAGCATAATCATAATCATATTAGAGTAACCATATAACTTTCAACTACTAACTTTTATAGTCACATCACTTAATAGTATTTTTTTCAATTATTCAGCTGACCCCTACCGGCTGATTTGACTTATGTATTTGACCTCATGATCATTACATTGTTTGGTAGATTAAATTATTTTTTATAGGGTCCTTATTCTGAAGATTATCTGTGAGTGATTTTGTTGATTTGATCCAAACCGATAATCATAAACTTGACGAATTTGTACTATATCTCAGCGTGGTTACCTTTAGCATTGTTCCACTCTCAGTATATTCGGGTTAAGGCTACGCTACTGTATGTGTGATGCAGTACACTCTGCGCCTACCGCGGTCATTTCGAATGTTCCAAGTACACATCCTCACTGTTTAATTTACTTTCTTTTTCTACATATGTATGTATGACTGGAATTAGAACTTCCCAATGTATTGTTGCAGAGAGTATATTGTTCGAAAATGTATGAGGTGCTGAGTTTGGGTAGTCAGCTTCAAATCCTCGATTCAGTGATATGCAGTCAAGTGTAGGGATCAATGATAAAATCATTTCAGAGTATGTTGAATAGCCTGAATACGTATCTTGTTATCAAAGTAAGGCAAAAACGACATCATTGAAATAGATTATCATAGAAATTATTGATACGTTTAACATTTCTTGATGAAGTCATCATTCCCGATAATTTTCTTATCTGCTTCACTTATCAGTACAAAGAAAGTTAAACTTATAGACACAAATCAGAATTGTCATCGACAAAACAAAGATATTCTCTACATTTTTGAACGACTGTACTTTGTGTTGTTGTTTTTCTTCCATCTTTTATTGAGCACTACTTTTATCTTATACATTTGTAAATGTTTATAGGTGATCTGCGTGAAACCATTGGAAATAATTAAAAAGAAATCAGCTGCCTTATTTGTCTGTTTATTTATTCAATATTCAATGGCTGTGATAATATCTTCAACAGAAAACATGCGTAGATTCATTTATGAACACAAACAAACACAAAAATGCGTGCGCACGCACACACACATACGGTATAATCTGTATGTTTTAAGTGAGTTTCTATTTTCACTTTGATAGCACAGTGTTGATGTATAAAAGTCATTTACTTCGGCATAAATCCTCATTGTAGCTGGTGACGTTCGATAAACACTGTTCAGGGCGTGTAAATTCTCAGACTACCTTGTTCTCCAAGCCAAAGTTGAAGTTGACAGATACTACAGTAACATAGTTGACATCACTCTTTTCATTTATTCGCATGGAAGTGAACTAGTAATGATGCTTTTGGTATGGCAGACAGAAAAAGGAGACTATAAAGAGCTTATTGCTGGTAACAAAAACAAGTAGTAAAGGCAAGGGAAGAGACTACAGGAAAGAACGTAGAATACGGTCAAATGGGTTGCTTTTTGAAAAGTCATACCGTAGAATTTATTCCCATGGAGTGCCTAGGAAAGAGAAGTTAATAATTTTGCATGATCATAGAGCCCTAGGGACATGTACATGAAACTGAAAAGACCGAGAAAAGCAATGATAGCAACTGGATAAAATAAATTCATTTTATTTCAGTAGTATCTTGTCAACTGCTTATAAGCCATAATATCAAAATATATACATTTAGTGAAAATTCAACATATTTTTACTGCATTGAAAGAGAACAGAATAGAGGTCAATGGTTAAGATACACAGAAATAGACATGGATGAAATGCCAAAGACAACGACAAATTCAAGGAGAGATAATAAGTGCTCAAAATCACACATATAATCCAATGAAAGTGTCTCGAGTAAAATAACGACAAGAGTAAATGTAGTGTGAGTAGTAGTAGTAGTAGTCGAAATATCAAGGAACTTAACACTATGCGACTACTTAATTAGATCATCCGTAAATAAGCAAGATATTGTGAGTTAAATCCAGTCAGTTGGAAACATTCGATACTAGCTGTAGATGACGTAACTACTACTACTACTACTACTACTACTACTACTACTACTACTACTACTACTACTACTACTACTACTCACACTACATTTACTCTTGTCGTTATTTTACTCGAGACACTTTCATTGGATTATATGTGTGATTTTGAGCACTTATTATCTCTCCTTGAATTTGTCGTTGTCTTTGGCATTTCATCCATGTCTATTTCTGTGTATCTTAACCATTGACCTCTATTCTGTTCTCTTTCAATGCAGTAAAATATGTTGAATTTTCACTAAATGTATATATTTTGATATTATGGCTTATAAGCAGTTGACAAGATACTACTGAAATAAAATGAATTTATTTTATCCAGTTGCTATCATTGCTTTTCTCGGTCTTTTCAAATTCCTAAAGGAGATCGCATGCATAAAGCTTGAATTTTCAATTTGTTGTTTGAACAATTAGTTCCTAGCTTCATAAACTAGAGTCATCCATCTTAAATTAGTCATTGTTAACACCTGAGAAGATTCCTCACATATGTTATAGACTTGATAATATCTAAATGAATGAAGCCGATTTTCTTTTTTATCAGTCTTTCAGTACTTCTTATCGACTAGGCACTGATAAGCACTGTCCCACTCGTAACCCCTTGAGGTTATCGGTAAACCACAGTCACCTTCAGACTAGTTTCCAGGTATGATACTGCATTGATAATCTGTCCAACCCATCATCAAAACATAATGAAAGTGAGTTTCGATATAATCTCAGCGTGTTTACGAAACGGAAGCAAGATTTTTATGAACTACCCACTGCGTATATCACGGTTTATTCAGCAACATATTAAGATTTTTTTAACGATCTTTAGAAATCGGACTGAGTGCTAAAATTCTTCCAGGATATTCGCAACAGCTATAGACTGGAAATATATAATATTGTCGAAACATTAGTCCAGAACTCTGATGTCCCATACTCCTATATCTTTAGTACTGACCAAACTGTTTTCACCCAATTTTACTGTATGGTCGTGAAGTAATTTGCAGTTCACCGTATGTAACTTTAAATGGTTCAAGACTATTGGTTGAGACCCTTGACTTGAGTCCCTATTCGATAAACATCAGCTATCGCACTTCTGTGTATTTTGAATTCAGATTTTTAAGGTAGCATCAATTTTGTCAGCGATAAAGACATACCCTGCTGATTGAAGCTGATAAACACAAAGCCTAATTGAATCAGAGCTATGCGTCGTCTATTTTTGAACTTTCATTATAAAACCAACCTTAGTTATTTATAAATGTGTAAAAATGTTTACAGTATGCACCTAGTGACCTAACTGGATGCTTATTCAGATTAAATAAACACATAATCAGTTCATCATGTGACCAAATTCCCAGGAATGGTCATCTCTTTACTAAATTGACAAGGTTAAACCAACACATGGTTAATAAATGCATTTTCAGAACACCCGACACTTCCATAAAAACGAGATGTAATTTCACTGGGAAATAGCTAAACGGAAGACATGTATGAATGCAGTATAGTACATTTTGTTATCGATTTGCTATGATGATAACGAAAACAAATTTGGAAGGAAACGTGTTTCGAACCCTTATCAAAGCGAAAAAGTCGTCCGTGCACAGCTTGGCTGTATATATATACGCGCGAACACCACTACCCTCTACCTTTTTGATTCTAAATTGTAAAATAGTTAGAATTTCCAACTTAAGAGTAGGAGAATTTGAGGAAATAACATAAATTCTAACTGTATAACCTTGTCTTACAAATAAATTAGACTTATGATTGGTATACTACTCAATACATATAAGTAGTTAAAATATTTTTTACATATATCGAAGGCTAGTCTGCGCTCAGCTACAGTGATATTTCAGTATTTCAGTAAACTATATTAATGATAGTTGTCTTTTCCCAACAAATTCAGAAACTAAGTCATATTTCTAGCGAAACATTCGTGCTGAGCACTTGCATTTCGGCTATATTTTTTTCATTTTATATCTCACTGAAAACAAGATAGCAGTTAAGGAGTCGTATTGTTATCATCGCCAGATGAAATAATTGCAAGAAACGTTCAGAAATGAGCATATGTTCCCTAAGATGAACGATCTATCAGTAGGATTTTACTTGTTATACTAGATACCGTCTCATGACTGACAGCGTACTCTTTAGACTTTTGTTCTCAGGTTTACGATGTTAATTAGGTATATATCTAAAGTTGTGAGTGGTATCACGTCATATCATAGTGTTAGGTTTAGGGAGTTAACTCATCTAAAAGACGCTCTAAAGTGATGTAAAGTGGGTTTTTGACGCAATGTATTTGTCAATGATTTTTGAACTAATGGAAGTTTAGGATTTGTCCTGGTGCGAACTTGACAGACTCAAAGACCAATCACTAATTATTCGAACTTGTTATATACCCAGGAATACGAGACCAAGGAAGAACACGATAGCGTAGTCGGATGGAATAGTATATTTGGATGGTTGTGTCAAAATACAGATGCATTCCAACTAACTGGCTAGAGAGTCGAATACGAGCAGTGCAACGTAACACGACGGTGTGCTAAATGGCGAGGATGCTTGACCGGGTGCCTTCAGCTTAGCGAGTCCAGTTAAACTATCAAGGTCAGCATCAATGTCGAAAGTCGTCAAACCCTAGGCTATTGATTTTGGGGAAGTGTGTGACGCTACAGAAGTTTTTGCTGATAATCATTTCCTAATTATTTGTGTATGCTAACCGATAAGCTAGGACTGTGAAAAGTAACAAATTTCTTTAATGATATAGCTCTGGAAATAACTTAAATGCTTTCGATACTCATTAAACCTGCAGCAGTCATCGACACATATAAATGTTTCACTGTAGATAATTCTGTGCTTAACTAATGTTAGATGGTTGGCAGTAATCAGCAGGAAGACCTGCTCACCCCAGGTTTCGTGGTTGTTGGAACTCTTCAGCCAGGCATACATGCAGCCTCAAAGGGACTGATTACCCTTCACAGATTTCAAATCACATCACCCGCTGCTGCAATCACAATCGATACCATTGGGTTATTGCTTCCAATCATGAAAAATCGGTCAAAATATACCTCAGTGGTGAGTTTCCTAGCAAGGTGGGCCCACTACACAGCGACCAACTGAATTCGATCAGAACTTAGGACTAGACAAATCGGTTATTGTTCAGTGATAAATTAGCGTTTTTCTGCGTTTAGCTGGTGTATAAAGTCATATATAACTTTAGATGGATGACTCAGCCATCCTTCAAACGATTACTTGAGGTACCTAAAGAGTTAACGGAATTCTTCTGTAGATACGCTGTTTATCATTATGGTTTCTAAGTGATAACTTTCAAACATGAGTCAAGTATGAACTCAGAACACAATGTTCTGATTGAACAGGAATCTACATTATGTACTCTGTTTAGCTGATGCTGTTTTATGAGTGTGAAATGGCAATGCTTTAGTAGTATGCGCTTGAATGTATCAATATTGAGTGTCAAAAAAATGTGACGAAAATTTGTGATAGTACATGTGTAATATTATCTCAGTCCATTCAGAAAATAAACACAACTTGTTAAAAAGGTCTATTGAAATCAGTAGTAACTCGGCTATTCCCTGCTGCTTTGATACAATCGAATAATATCTTTCTAGCTGACATAATAAGTGTAACTAGCTGTGAATTTCGTTCTAGGAACTTCAGAACCAAAGCGAACAAGCGACTTCTCAACAATAAACCAAGCGTAAAATCCAAAACACAGGATTTGTCTGAAATACGGTTCTATATCAATAAACAATACTGTGTAATAAAATACAAACCTAGAATCATGAGGTATCTGCGGGTTTACCGCTTTCAAAGCACTTGCAAAGAGCGCATCAACTGTAAAAGTAGCAAGGCTTTGTCCAAACAAACAAAAGCGAATATAAAAGACAAGCGTTAATTCTCATGATGAGGTAAAGACTCAAGATAAA